GCTTGCTGGATTATGGTAACCCTAATTTACCAGCACAGTAGTGGAAGCTGTAACATGGACATTGGTTGTTTAAGCCAGTGCATCATCTAACCCTGCTCAGAGCAGGTGAGTAAAAGCAAGACAAGCCAACTCCCCGGAGCACAGGAGGAGCACGAAGTCGGCGAGAGACAGCCCTACCTTTACTGCCAGTTGGCTGCTTGTCATCTGCAGCAAACAGCCCAGTCCCACTCCCACCAGCATATCTGCGGCCAGGCTCAGGGAAAAGAAAACCCTGCAGGAAATGGAACTAGCCACTAGGGGGCAAAAGTGGGCCAACAAACAGCTGGATTGTCTGGTGAGACATGGGCTTGACCAGTCTAACCTGGCGAAGGAGGGAAGGAACAGACAGCTGAGGCCTGTCTGCCCTGATTCCCTGGAGAAAGGGCTTGTTTCCCCCCAGAGTCCTACAATCCAGGGCCTGCAAATGGCTGAGACCTGGCTACCGGCCGGCCGCCCCCCAGCTCTCAGCTGCTACCATGATGGGGGACCCTACAACTTCTTGAGAGATGAACTGAGCAGGAGTAAAAAAGGGCACCTCTAGTGCTGGGTCCAGATGGCTCCTCCTGGGGTGCACACGTTCCTCCCCTAGGCAAATGGGCTCTGTTGAGCCTGGTTTTCCTTTCCTAGCCAGAATCCCTGATCGCCGAGGGGGCTGCCTCGTGGAAGGCTGCCAGCAAAAGCAGGTGCTGAATGTGTCTCTTTCAACACCGCCAGGGGAAACCTAGGGCCTGGGTGCCAGGAACTCCTGGGGTCTAATCCTGCCCTTGGCACTAATTTGCCATGTGGCTTGGGCCAAGTCACAATCTCTCTTTCCTCTTTTCCACCCCCTCCTCCCCATTTTCCCGTCTGTGCAGTATGGCCACTGCTGCCTACTGGCCATGGATACCGCGAGGGTTAACGGTCTGCGTGGCATACTGAAAACCTGAAGTTCTAAGTCCGACTTAATCTGTGATTGACGATTGGCTCGGTTTGTGACTGTTGGGCAGGGATGGCGGGTGGGTCATTGCACTAAAAATCAAAGTTAAGCCCATGCTAACACCAGGCAGAGTCCATGTAAGTTTCCTCGGCACAGCTCTGTCAATGTGCCTCAATCATACATCCCCCCCCCCCCCCAAGCCTCCTTCCTAACCTAGTCTTCACTCTGGCAACAGAGGGCTCGTGCATCCAACCACCCTACCCACAATCACACCTCCTGTGAGGGGTCCTGGACCAACTGCAGTTGCATGGGACTTCTATACGTGTCAGCATGCAGAGCTACACACTCCTAAGAGACGAGTGTGGGGTCTGCACCAGTCTGTGATCCTGACCCCTGTAGCTACACAGCTAGATGGGAAAAACAGGGAGTTGTAAACTGTTGTGCAGAGGAAAATCCCTAGGCACAAGTTTAATAAGACCTAGCTTTTATCCGCTCTCAAAGCGCTTTGCAGTATTGTTATCCCCGTTTTACAGATGGGGAAATAGAGGCACGGAGACTTGCCCAAAGTCACCCAGCAGGTCAGTGACAGAACTGTGAACAGAACCCGGGATTGCTGCGGCCCAGTCCAGAGCTCTATCCACTAGGCCATGCTGCCTGATTTAGCAATTGCCCAAAGGAGCTCAAGCTTGAAAGGATACTGAAGATGATGCCCCCAAAGCAAGCAGAGAAGGCCATGCGGGGGTATCCGTGCCG